CGGTATCGGTGATCAGCACCATGTGTGATCGGTATCGGTGATCAGCAGAAAAACACCAGATCGGAGCAACCCTAGTAATTTCATTTGTCTCATTTCCTCCAGTCATACAACCTTTATTTAGACAGGTTTATCCCATTGAGCCTCAAGGACTCATTTACAAGAGAGACCTGAGTTAAACAAAGAGTGATGGCAACAATGGACAATTATAAAAGAGGCATACAGATTTTTATTTTTACAAATTAAAATTCCATTAAAAGTCAATTCTGTCCCTCGGCTGAATTCACGGATACTCCAGGTGGACCAGTTCAGTGTTTTTGCTTCACGTTTAATTTTATTTTCAGAGTTAATCAGTAGCTACAATCGGAAATGTCATGCAAAATAAAAATGATGAGCCAGTGATAAAATAATTAGGCAATAACAAGTAAATGTTTTCCATATTTTAATATTACATGTTGAAATGTATATATAATATACGGTATATTAGCCAGAGGTGGGATGTGCATTTTAAATCTAGGCCTTCATGGTGTCCTGCCTGAATTTATGGCTCCACAGCTACAAATAACCATCAATAATACACAGAATCACAGAATAATTAGGACAGATATCTGAAGCAAGAAACCCTTAACACAATTTAGCAAGTTTCCTTCACCTGCAGCCACAGCTGCACCACATATTTAAAAAACATCAGAACAAAAGATGCTTTTAGTACAGCAGATGTGCATGAACTCCCAGCACATACAGAAATTAATACTCTTATTGAGTAAAGACTGAATGAACTACAAGTAACTCATCATGGTATGTGACCTCTGGAGCAGTGCTAATACATAAACAATGTACATTTAACGTGCAGGTTATAGGGCAGTAAAAATTAAAAAGCATTCTTGAGTAAGCAACTGTTCTAGTTTGACTTTTGCTCAACATTTTCAACCAGATTTTATTCTTATAACCTTCGTTGAAGATTTTTAACAATCTCGTTGAAGCATTGGATGCTAAGGATTATTGTGCTTCACTTTTCTTAGACCTGTCTAAAGCTTTTGACACTGTGGATCATAACATCTTACGTCATAAGCTCTCAGAAGTTGGTTTGTCAGACCATACTGTTGGTTTTCTAATTACCTTTCAGATCGAAGGCAATGTGTTCAACATAATGGTACTTCTTCAAGCTATTTAACTGTCAATAATGGTGTACCACAAGGCTCAGTCTTAGGACACACCCTCATCACAATCTACATAAATAATGTAAGTCGGATCATTCCTGATGCATCCTTACATTTCTATGCCGATGACAGGAAGTCGGTACCAGCAGTCCTTCCTTCTATCTTATCTACAAATGGTGTTCCTACTGTTTGCCAATTCTTACAAATACTTGGGTATTTTGGTCGATTTGCATCTCTCTTTTATGCTGGTGAAGATTCTCAGTCATCCAGGACATGATGAATTCAAAAAGCGTTCAATACAAAAACAAGTGGACTTTATTTGTAACAGAAGACGTTTCGCTCCTCATCCGAGGAGCTTTCTCAATTCAAAGAGCAGAGAGTGAGAGATTCAGGTTATAAGATTCATGTTGAGAGGGAGGTGGAGGAAGCAATATATCATGGGAACAGAGGGGTCTCATCTGTGAATTAGAGGAACAAAGCCCTTAAGAAACCCCTACCGTTTAAGGTGTTGAGGTGTGACTTGTCAAATCTACATATGTGCGTGTCTTATCTCACTCAGCCTTATAACCTGAATCTCTCACTCACTGCTCATTGAATTGAGAAAGCTCCTCGGATGAAGATCGAAACATCTTCTGTTACAAATAAAGTCCAGTTGTTTTTGTATTGAACACTTTTTGAATCTCTCTTTTAATTCTCATGTCAAAAACTTGGTAAAGAAACTGAAAGTAAAACTTTTTTTTTTCTGAAATAAATCCTGTCTAACTGTAAATGCTAGGAAACACCTACATTGACTACATTGACATTATTACATGAACTCTCCTGCAAGCACATTACAGATGTTGGACGCTGTCTATCATGGTGCGCTAAGATGCATAACTGGCTGTAACTACCGTACCCCTCACTGCATGTTCGTTTTAGCTCTGTAACCTACATCTCAGTAAGAAAGTCTGACGTCATTTCATTTATATTGATTCTATCTTATTTTTCTGCGTTTTTTGACTCCTCGGTGGTTTTTGCTTTGCGGACTCTAGTGTTTACTGTAATATGCGGTTTTTTTTAGGTTTGCGACATCGTTAGTTACGGTAAGCGATGACGTCACCACGCCCTGCGCTCAGGTTCCGCCCATTCAGAAGAAAAAGAGGCGGAGCCACAAAACAAATATTTACTGCGCGTGGTCGTGGCTCCTGGTGGATGATCTTCAGCCCCTGACACAGTGTGCAGAATATTTGAAAGAAAATCTAAATTCACTTATTTCAGCAGCACTGAGTTTATTCTTTGGCAGAACCGGAAGCCCTTTTCCGCTTCAGAAACAACACAAGCTGGAACTGAAGTAACCGAGGTGAGTGATGCGCCTGGACGAACCACGAACCGTGAACGTCTCACGGCTAGTCATTAGCTAACATCGTCTCGCGCTGACTGCTGTTTTGAGTTTTAAAGTTAATGTTAAGGGTGTAGATGGCGATAAAACACTTGCTGTGTGGGTCAATGTGCAAAACTTTGTGTCTTTCAACGCTTGCCTCTTGTTTCTCCTGAGTTCATGCAGCGGTTTATCCACAAATCGAACTCGATGCTTTTCTTTTTAGATTGGTTTGTGTTTTCCTGGCGCGCGCTCGTTTCCTTTGAGTGAGGGTGGCGGGTAGAACACAAGCGAGAGGGAGACGACAGGGTCATAATGAGAAAACAACAATAACAACAAGGCTTCTTCTGGACGACCCGTTTATAAATTAAAGGCTGGAGCATGACTCCGTCCTGAGGACCTGCAGGGTGTAGAGGATAAACAACTGGACCGCACGTGACCACAGAGGAATTAAAGGAAAAACTGGTTCTGAGTTGAAATGAAGAATCTCAAAGAGACTAAAGCTGCATCTTTTCTGTTCTGATTTGTTCCGAGCCGTGTAACCCTCTCATGGTCCTTTATCTTTATGATAAGAGTTCATTAGGGGAGAAATCAAACACTTTATCTGCTTATAAAATACATGTTTGGATATTTTTGTCCACAGTAAACTTTTAGTAGGGATGCACGATAGGAATGTGCGATATGGCATAAAATTCATATCACGATATGTATTGTGAAGGGTGGTGATAACGATATATATCGTGATATGTTTTTGGTATAAAACTTGCTAAAAACAAACATAGGGTGTCCTTTTGCCATCATATATTTTGAATTAAGAAAATTCCACTACTAGTTCCAGAGAGTTTTAAAATAATAAACAAATCAAGTATTAGGCTTCTTTCTTGTGCAAAACAGTGCAAAATATATCAAATGTACTTTTAGCCATATGTTTTAAACAAAATAATATGTTGTTAACTCTTAACAGTTTCCAGTCTTCTCACTTTATAAATGAACAGCAACAGAGCAGCAACTGAAACACTTCACCCTCCAAACCTCTAGTGGGCGCCTCCTCCTGCTTTAATGGAGAGCTGACACAAAATGAGTCTGTGGCTTTGACCAGAGGGTCTCGCAGTAAAATCACACAGCACGGCGTTCTTTTCACAGATCAGAAAGCAGGTTTCTCTAACGCTGACCAACATTTACTTTAACTTTTGATGGAAAAAAAACAACTTTCGACAGAACACAGCGTTTTGCGCATGCGTCAGAATACGGCAACACTACGGCAAGCCGGGCGTAGTTAGCTTGTAGCTTCGCTACTTAGCTCTCAAAGAAAAGACTAACGCCACTTTTGCACAGTTTTCAAATAAAAAAGTAACGATTAAATCTGACAGCTCTGATTTTACATCAGACACAGCGTTACTGCAGTTAGCCGGTAGAAGACAGATCTCTATCGTAGGCTAAATTTCTATCGTTTCTACCGTATACCGTTTATATCGCGCATTCCTAATGCACGATATTATCGGCATGGTATCGATATCGGGCGATATTAGAGTTGAAGTTCCATATCGGACATTGGCCATTCCATTAAAATAGCTCGCCGATATAAACCCAGCACAACGCGATGACGTCACGTGCGCCTACCTGATCTCACAGCGGAGAGGAAAATTCAAAATGTCGGCGATGTGTATGTTTTTTTTCTTCATTGGTGAGGACGTTGGATTCTGAAGATTTATGGACTACGTTGAGCCTCGCTACATCGTCCCCAGTCGGAGATATTTTTTCCAATGTAGCCTTACCCAAGTTACAAGCCATCATTTCTGATGTCACTGAGAAGCTAATATCTGATAGCACGACTTGTTGAGTGAGCTTTACCTCAGACATTTGGACGTCGTGTTAGCCTCGTTAGCATGATTAGTCTTACGGCACAATGGATAGACAAAAACTTTGAACTTCAAAAGTCTGTCCTTCATGCACAGGAGTGCAGAGGATCCCACACTGCAGCTATAGGAACCTGGAACAAACCTCCACAGGTGAGACAGCATCACAGGTGACTAATGCTAATAAATAACATCTAACACTTTTCATTTAATATAAGTCAAAGTGCATATCATATCATATGGCTGTTACTGAATATGTCACCAGCTCTTACAGCTGTTGCACAATTTTTGTACAAAATAAACCTAAATAAGAGGAATATATGTTCTGACAAAGGAACATATATAAAATATCGGCATTGTTTATCGGCCAAATAAGTTTGAACATATTGGCATATCAGATATCGGCCAAAAATCATTATCGTGCATCCCTAACTTTTAGCAAACTTAGAGCTATCTCAGCCTGAAATAAAACATACTGATCTAATATTTAATTCTATTTTATTATTATACTGTAAGGTATACAGCGGTACATCTGCCAGTCGAAGCAGATGGCCGCTTGTTCTGAGCCTGGTTCTGCTAAAAGTTTCTTCCTCGTGAGGGAGTTTTTCCTTTCCACTGTCGCCTTCATGCTTGTTCAAGATGAGAGTTCTGTGATGGAGTTAAACTCAAAGCAGTCTGCTCCTCAGATAAAAAATGTTAAATTAATATTTTTATATATGAATGTTTTTGCTCAGTTCCCTGAGATGAGTTCTGTTGTGACTTGGTGCTATATAAATGAACTGAATTGAATTGTCAGCTCCTTAAGGGCCTTTAAATTGATTAAAAAAAAACTTTACAACTTGGCCCCAGAACTTGAGATGCACGTGTGTTTGTGCACAAGCTTTAAATATGCACTAAAACAGTTTGGCTGGACAAGATGGGAGACGTCAGGTGTTATAAGGTCACAATGCACCTTCAATTTTCCAATCTTGTTTTATTGAAGAAACAATACCTTTGAGCAATATCCTAGAAACGATACAAACTTGTTTTAACTGGCCACGAGGTAGTGCTTTAAATATAAATGAAGTTCAGACAATTGTTGTTAAAACTTAAAAAAAAGGTAAAATCGGTTTCTCATGCAAGTATCGGCCAATTTCCCAAAATTAAGGAAATCTGTGCACCCCTGATACAAATTGAGATTTTTTTTTAACAAGTGAAAATAAATTGTAAGTTCAGTCTTGCACATCCAAAGTATTCCCCCTCTGACAGACGAGCTAGGTTGAAGCCAGTCATCTAGTGGTTTTTAGCTGCTTGTTTGGTGGACCTGCGATGTGTTCTTCACGTTTACCCTTTTTGACTTCGTGGTCATTTTTTCTGGCACATGTTCTCTCTCAGCTATTGGGAGTTTGGTCTCATATTCATGTCATTCTTGTCTGTATGCTAATGCTGATCCTCTGGATGCATTAGAATACAGTACACAGAGTGTACTCATCACTTTGTTTGGTACACTATTAATTCAACGGTAAAGTTTAGATGCTCAAGTCTCGGGGAGGTCAGGCTTGTAGTGTGGTTTAACCATGATGATGTATTGAGTTTGTTGTCTCTCCTGGTTGCAAGTAGTGTCAAACCTGTACCTTGCTCAGTATTTTTCCTTTGAGCATTTTTTAAACAGATTTTTAAATACAGTCACTAAAACAAGAATAAATAGTTTAATTTTTGTTGTTTAACCTCCATGTTACATTGTTCTGAAAATGTGGGAAACCAGCTGGGATCATTGGCCTGACATACATGTAAGGCTTGTGGTCTAAAGTTGTCTGTTGTTGTAGTAATTGTTCTTGGTGTTTGCACCCAGATCAGGTTATTCCTGTCTGTAGTAGGGAGATCTGCCCATAAATTAGATGGAACAAGCAGGTCAAGAGATGCAATCTTTCAGTTGTTTCTGGGTTGTGTGTCACTGCTGTCGTACAGATTTGACTCGATTGTCCTGTTTGTCCTATGTGGTGAATACAGAGCTGTTCCCGACAGACTGCCACAGTCTCAGTTTCACTGAACTGTGAGGAGAAAAATGAAGAGAAGCTGCACAATCCCCATTTACATCCCTGCATTTAACTGAAAACTGTAATCACAATAAAACTTTATACATACAGTTTGAATAAATAACGAATAGTTAGTGACGTAGGGTTGGCAGCACGGTGGTGCAGTTGGTGGAGCTGCCGTCTCAGCGAGCAGGTCGCCTCGGTTCAAATCCCGGCCGGGGGCCTTTCTGGGTGGAGTTTGCATGTTCTCTCCATGCATATGTTGGTTTTCTCCAGTTTCCTCCCACAGACCAAAAACATGCATGTTGGGCTGATTGGTAACTCTAAGTGGTCTCTAGGTGTGAGAGAGAGAGTGAATGTTGTTTGTCTCGTTTGTCTCCATGTGTCCCTGTGATGGACTGGAGACCTGCAGGGTGTCCCCCGCCTCTCGCACAGTGACTGCTGGATATGGACACCAGTGACCCCTGTGAACCAAAAAAGGACAAAGTGGGTAAAAACAATGGATGGATGGATGGACTGTATCCATCTACATCTCAACGTACTACTTTTAGACTTTATCAACGGTTCGATGTGATGGGTCACTAATATTACACTTGTCATCCCATTTTTAGAAAATATTGCGTACCCATATTATGTGTTGGTCCAATAGGAAAAAAATAAAATGTTCTTATGATAACTAGGCCATAAAACATATACAAATAATTAACTTTATTTCTATGGTTAGGTTTGAAATAGTTAAAAGATTTGATACAGTGAAAGGGAAGAAAATCATATATTGTGTTTTTGTTGCAGTTTATCGAGAGGGACTGTTTTGGGATTTAAAGTGTGGTTTCTGTGTAAAGTGCCTCAAAGGTTAATGCAGAACCATCGAGCTCTGAAACCAGCATAACCTCAGAGGTTTGCCACAGTCAGTAAACTTGTTTGATTCAAGTTTGGAAGCAGCCTCTCATTGTTGATCTAGAAACTACGTCTGATGGGAAATGTCTCAAACGTGGCACATTTTGACACGTTCAGTATATTTGTTTTCAATTTTAAAAGTTGAATTGCGTTGCTCTGACTCTGCTGGATGGATCTACACTCAGGTAAACGGGTTCGAGGCAGGACGTTACAG